GCAATCAATAGACAATCTGCCATTCAGCATGCATCTCCAACAGGAGATGTTATTTTTATTTTTGATTTTTTAGTTGTTACAGACTTGACTAACAACTGACAAACAGTTGCAGACAGATTAGTTCTTTGCTGCATTGCAATCTGTTCTAGGGTAATCTTAAAATAGATATGATATTTCCTGTAGGATCTGACATTAGTTGATTACTACATCACCTAACTGTTTTTGTTCAATCCGACCGAAATTAGTTGTGATTCATAATCGGTTGTGTGTCAGGCTAAGGTAGGATTCAGTGTGGATTCTAGTTTAGATCACACACACTGTAGCTCATGAGTGATGGAAGCACTAGTGAGGAGGAGTTGTTAGTGGACGACCGTAGGACTACTCGTGGAACTGCTCGTAGTCGACCCTTGACTTTCCTAGAGCTAGGTCCAGGAGACGAGAGGAGATTGCGGAGAGAGGCTAGAGAGAGAGCAGCAACAAGGAGAGTGAGGGTAGCTGAGGATAGTGCCAAGTCTAGAGCTTCAGCTAGCACCGGTACGACCATGGCTACTTCATCTACCATGTCGCAGGCCTCTTCACAGTCCACTTCATCAGGAGTTAGTCAGAGTGGTTCTCAGGGGACCATTAGCCAGAGTGTTGGCTTGCGAGTCAACCAGCAGACTCAACTCACGCCGGAGGATTATGAAATCCTCCAAGCAGAAGAACTTCAGGACGAGCTACAACGGCAATTGGATGAGGCAGCAGAGAGGAGAAGAAAAACAATCATGAGGAAAGCTAGACTAGGTAGTAGAAGAGAGGAGCTAGGCAGACTGGAAGCATTAGATGAGTCAACGCTTGACCCTGCGATACGAGCGTTGCGTAACTCGCTTCTTTGTGTGGCGGAAGCGCGGGCTGTCCAGCAGGAAGTGCTGGTTGAACTAATGGCAGGCCAGAAAGAGATTATGGCTGCACTACGAGCTCCTTGTCCCATGATGAGGCGGCCTCAGTATGTTGTAGTTCCCCCTTCGGGTGCGGGTCCATCAGGGACACTAGAACCGGTAGGGCCTTCATTCTCACCTATGTTTGGCATGCCCCCTCCAGGTGGTTTGGTAGCAACTAGTGGTCCGGTTCATAGAGTCTCAGCCGTACCATCCACGACAGTGGTCACTACAGTCCCACTGTCAAGYCAGGCCYAGGTTAGTRTGCAACAACCTGTTTCGGTGGCCATGCAGCCACTGCAGCAGGCCCCTGGGCCCATGCAGCCTATGCAGTGGATGCCCAAAATACCCTTGCTGAGTCCTAAGCCCTTCTCCGGCGACAGGAAGAAGGACGGGGATTTGGATACCTGGGTGAGGACGGTGCCTACCTATGTAAGGCACAAACTTACCAGGCCAGAGCAAGAAGTTGTTATGGCTGCCTCCTTTTTAGAGGGGTCAGCAACCCATTGGTTGAATGGCCTAGTGCAGCAGCAGGGCTATGGTCAGAATTTCGATGCCTGGGCACAGGCCCAGACATTGGAACAGTTCGTACAGTCCGTATACAACAGGTGGCATGACCCGCAAGGGGCTCAAAAGGTCACCGACGCTATCAACAGTCTTTGTGCAAGAAGGTACAAGAATGTTAGAGAGCCGACGGACACTGTAGAACGTCTGCTCGTGGTACCTGGTGTGCGCTATGACCAGCAGGTACTCCTTACGGATTACCTTAGATGTCTGCCTTCAAAGGTGAGGACAAAGCTGGTAGATGAGGCTTATGTCGATCAACACAACTTCGCCTCTTTCAGCAAGAAAGCCTTGGACATAGAGGCAAAATTGGGATCTGCGGATCAGAGTCAGGGAGATGGTAGGAAAAAGAGGCTACCCCAGGACTGGAAGAAAGGTCAACTAATGTTTGTCGACCACGATGGTCAAGCAACAGAAATTGACGACTTCCCAGACCTTGGGGAGGAGACAGAGCATGATGGGTCCAGTGAGACTTCGGATGGGGGAGTCGTGGCACCTATCAAGGAAAAGGCTAGGGGGACCGGGAAGAAGAAGGTAGTACGGTCCACGGGTCAGGGCGACCAAGGAACGCCCGCTTGGGTAAAACTTGGTTTAGAGTACGAGGTTTGGAGGGACCGAGTTGCCAGGGGCACGTGTATGAACTGTGGCAATTTTGGCCACACGTCTAGAACGTGTCGAGGCAAGAAGGTCACCACGAGGGTAGCCTCACCAATGGTGGTGGGACTTTCTTCTAACTCTGGCAGTGCTTCTGCGAGCACTTCGCAGGGAAACACCTCGGGCCAGTAGGAGTTTTAGCCGCTCTTACTCGCGCTGAAAAGGTAATGTTGCCTTCCCCACTTCAGGCGTCTGTCGAGGCTAGTGACCCACGTATCGCCCCACAGACACATTCAGACCCACCGACGCTCTGTTCGAGAGATGTGTCTGAGGCCCTAGAAGAGTTAGAGATTGAGTGGTCAGGGAAGGACCCCAGAGACTCTTGGGCGATGATCAGTTGAGGTCCAAAGGGTGAACATTTCGTGGTAGATGTTGATGCAGGTGGCCGCAAGGTTGGCGCCTTCGCAGACATAGGTTCTACACGGAACTTCATCAGTCATGCTTGTGTGGATAGACTGCGCTTAGGGGACCAAGTGCAGCGGCTTAGCAGAACTGTAGCTTCTACGCTGGCCAACAAGCACCAAATGTTGGTAAAAGACTATGTCAAGGACGTAGTCTATACCTTCTCCTATGGAGGAGGGGAAGTGAGCCATAAAATCTCCTTCCTGGTTAGCGACAAACTGCCCTTTGATATGCTCTTAGGCATGTACTACCTCGCGGTCGCGCAACCTCAGTTTGACTGGGATAGAAAGGTGTTGATCCACAAATTGCCCAATGGTAGAACTGTTAGATTGCAGAAGTTCAAAGCTAGCACTCTGATAGAAAACTACGGGTGCATGTGTGCATCGTCTTTCTATAACTATTATAAGCAGAATCACGAGGAGGGCATGTATCTAGTATTTGTCTCTGAGAAAGGGGAGGCCGTAAAAACACCCCTAGAGATAGAATCAGTCGTCGCACAATATTCAAACCTTTTTTAGGAGCCCACAGGCGTGGTAGAAAGGGAGGTTGTCCATGCAATAGAGGTTGTCCCAGGTAGTAAGGTGCCTAGAGGACGAATCTATAGGATGTCTCCTGCGGAGTTGGATGAGCTCCTTCGCCAGCTCAAGGAGCTCACAGAGAAGGGATGGATTCAGCCTAGTACCTCCCCTTACGGTGCGCCAATTCTATTTGTCCCAAAGAAGGGAGGTACCCTGAGGATGTGCATTGACTATAGGGGCCTCAATGCCATCACTGTTAAGAACGCGGAGCCCCTACCCCGCATCGACGACCTCTTGGATAAAGTGCAGGGATGCCAGTACTTCACCAAGATAGATCTGAAGTCCAGATACCATCAAATTGCTATTAGACCTGAGGACCAGCACAAAACCGCATTTCAAACCTGGTACGGTCTGTACGAGTTTGTGGTGATGCCCTTTGGCCTATGCAATGCACCTGGTACGTTCCAGCACGCGATGAATAGGATTTTTCATGATTACTTAGACAAGTTTATCGTTGTGTACCTCGACGATATTCTTATCTTTAGTAGGACTGTAGAGGAGGATGCTGAGCACTTGAAAATAGTTGCTAGGTCTCCTAAGACAGCACCAATATAAGGTTAACTTGGAGAAATGCGAGTTCAGTCGCACCAAGATCTTGTATTTGGGTCATGAAATCTAAGTAGATGGGCTGAGGCCGGAGATGATAAGGTGGCCAGCCTACGTGACTGGCCTAGACCTCAGACTGTTACTGAGGTCAGGTTGTTTTTGGGGATGACGGGCTACTATCGTCCGTTTGTGAAGAACTATAGTACTATAGCTTCCCCATTAATAGATCTAACTCGACTTGACACCCCTTGGGAGTGGACTGAAGAGTGTGAGGCAGCCTTCAGGAAACTGAAGTATGCCCTGACACACTATGAGGTTCTTAAACTTCCGGATTTGGATAAGCCATTCGTCGTGACCACAGACGCCAGCCAATATGGCATAGGCGCTGTTCTTGCGCAAAAAGAGGGGCCCAAGTTGAGACCTATCGAGTACATGAGCAAAAAGATGCCATCTCAAAAACTAGCTAAGTCCACTTATGAGCGTGAGCTCTATGCCCTGTATAGAGCGCTGGTTCATTGGAGACATTATCTCCTAGGCGGATTCTTCTATGTGAGATCTGACCATGAAACCTTGTGCTGGATCAAGACACAGCCGGTACTCCCTGACGCACTCAAGCGATGGATACAAGTGATAGACATGTATGACTATCAACTTGATCCTATCAAGGGAGAGTACAACAAGGTGGCTGATGCGCTATCTCGACGGGCAGATTATCTGGCGCTTTAGTGACTGAATTTGGCATATCCAGCGACTTAACTCGATCATTGGTGGAAGCCTATCAGCGAGATCCAGTTATATCTGAGATCATCTGTAGATTCCAAGCAAAGGACAAAAAGACTTTGGACGAATTTACGATGGTAGACGGCTTGCTGTTTCTTGCGAAGGCAGGGAATAAGAGATTGTGTGTTCCCAGTAGTGAGTCTTTGCGTAGTTTATTTTTAGGAGAGTGTCATAATGCAACTGGACACTTCGTTACAAAAAGACTTCAGCTAACCTAGTGCATAAATTCTGGTGGCCTACTATGATGCAAGATGCAAAGAAGTATGCTGAAACATGCCAGGTTTGTCAAAGAGACAAACCTAGAACTCAGGCTCCGTTTGGGCTCCTTAAGCCCTTGTCGATTCCTGAAGGCCCTGGTCAGAGCGTGTCCATGGATTTCATGGATACACTTGTGACCAGCAAATCTGGGAAAAGATACATCTTCGTGATAGTAGACCGTTTATGCAAGACTTATCGCCATGCCAGAAACTGCGAAAACTGACTTTATCATCAAATTGTTTCTCGACAACTGGGTACGCGATTTTGGACTCCCCACATCTATAGTAAGTGATAGGGATGTACGGTTTACCAGTGAACTGTGGCAATCCACTGCTGAACAGATGGGCACCAAACTCCAAATGACTTCAGGTAATCACCCTGAGTCAAATGGCCAAGCCGAACAGATGAACCAGGTAGTACAGCACCTACTTCGGCATTATATCAAGCCAAGTCAGGATGACTGGGATGAGAAGTTACCTCTCGCCGCCAGCCTGTACAATAACGCTGTGCATAGTACTACCGGTATGACTCCTAACCAGCTACATCTTGGTTGGAGGCCCAGAAGTGCGCTTGACTTTCTGTTACCAGAAAGGCAACACACTGCAGCACCTGGTAGCATAGATTTTGCTGTAAAGTATGAACAGATGCTGCAACAGGTCGTTGAACATATTAGGAAGTCTCAAGATGCTATGATCGCATCTGAGAATAGACATAGACGACCCTCTAACTTTCAGGTAGGTGAGAGAGTCTGGGTAAAGTCATCTGAACTAGGTCAGGAGTTGGGTATCTCATGGAAGTTGATGCCACAATACTTCGGGCCCTGGGAGATCTTGGACATTGTAGGGGATCAACCGGATGGGCCATCATACGTAATTCGCATCCCTCCCCACCTACGTACGTACCCTGTTTTCCATGCTTCCAAGTTGGCACCTTTCGCTGCTACAGAGCAGTTTCCTTCAAGAAGATCAATGCTGCCCCCAACCATGGATGGCGAGGTGGACATCGATCTAATTGTGGAGCATCGAATGATGCCTGTTCCGCGACCATCAGGCAGAGGGCGCCCTCCTAAACCGAGAATGCAGTATCATGTGAGCTTCAGACATCATCTCGATCCCAAGGAAGATCGCTGGTTCACACGAGAAGAACTCCTGAGAACAGCACCTCAAGTGATTGCAGGCTATGAAAGAGAACTGAAAGGGAAGATGCCTGCAGAATAAGAGACTTCTCAGAGGACTAACGAAGTAAAGGAGGAGGGAATGCGAGGATCTGGGTCCTCGGCAGGCCTAAGGGGCCCCGGTTGCAGTGGTGCCCGCCCTAAGTGAAGGCAGGCCTAACATATTACAAGAGGCCTTTGATTGTCAATTTCATATTTGGGGTACAGACGGTTGCAACGCGCCAGTTGGTTGAGAGAAACACAGGCCGAGCAACCAAGACATTTCCACGGCCTACCGGGCCTTTCCAAGGAATGCAGGCCCTGGGCGTGAATCGCAGCCTCATACACTGACAGTTGGGAGGCCCAACCGAACGAGGCCCAGTAGCTGCAGCACAGAGGCAGCATCCTGGGGCCTTCCGGAAGCTTCTGGGCCCAGGCCAGGACAGCCAGGCTGCACGAGCAGGCGAGCTCTTTCCATAAAGGAAAGAGCTCTCCCCAGGCAGCCTCATTCAGGCACTCGCTTGCTAGCGGCAGCGCTGCTGGAGAAATTGTTCGTGGGCTGCTGCTGGCGCTGAGAGGCGAGGTGCAGCACGTGCGGTCGTGCAGGGAAGCAGGGCGCYGCTGAGGGCAGCGCCATAGCCCAGCCACCATAGCTGGTGGGCTTGGACTACAGTGAGGCGCATGAGTGGTCTTCGGGTGTAAGGGAGGAAGACGTGGGTGTAAAGTCAGGGAAGGGTGAAGGATGATGATGATGATGATGATGTGAGGGCACATACCTTGTATTGGCGATGGTCTGCATTTGGGCGACATCTTCAAGTACTTTGGGTTGCCGCTGATGTCAACAGTTGCATTGTCTATTAGTAGGCTGATCGTAGCTGTGTAGGAGTAGGCTGGGCGCTGAGCGCCAAGTAGGAGTGTGAAGGGACTGGACTCTTGTGTTGTTGGCGGAGAGAAGAAGCTCTCCTTGACATTGGTTTTCAGTACTATGAACCTCCATTGGTGTATTATTGGTGCAATGCTGCTCTCTGGACACAGTGTGACTATCTGGCTTTCAATGTGATGGTGTAATCTGGATTTTCCAATTTTGTCATCTCGCTGTTACTTATTTTCCTTGCACATGTCGTGCTCATCGCAGTCCTTGTCTTTCGACTTAGGAGCCTTCAGAAGCTTCAGCTTTCCTCCCTGCCATCCAGACATTGTCCTTTTTGTGTGTTATAGTGCAAAAATGAGATGTCAAATACTTAACTCCTTGGTCGTTCTCCTCACAGCGTATGGCTTACCCGTAGGGTGATTAGCAGAACGCACTCAGTGATAGAAGACACCCACAAAGGAGAATGTGCACTGCTGCTCTTACTGAATCACAAAGTGCGCTGTTTTAGTTCGTAGATATGTGACAAATTGACAATACATGGTGTTGTTCTGTGCTCATACTGAGTCATGCAGTATTTCTGGTTTGGTGCGTGTTTTTTCTTGCTGACTGGGCTTTTGAATGGGACGGACGCATAAGAGTGAGAGATGCTGCGGAGTGTATTGTGCTGTCCCGTGCTCTGCGCACGGAACATGTGCATATCGATGCTGATCTGGACAATGTGCTGGCAGTCCAAGAGAAGCTTGTTTTCCAACATTCCATATTGGAGTTTGCAATGAAGGTTTATGACTACTTCAGCACAGCTGTCAACTACCTGATTCTCCTTGTGCCGATTTTTGCTGGTGCATTTGCTGAGGCGACGAAGGATGACGCGGGCAAGGTTGCACAGCTGATTAGCAACTCGTCCTTTGCGACGTTACAGCTGATGTACGGCTTTTCCATGCTGATAGACGCATCCAAATATGCATCCGATGTGGCTGGTCATGCCTCAAGGGTTGCTGAGCTGTTCGAAGCCTTGGGAATCATACAGGAGGGAACGAAGAACACCGAATCTGTGGCACGTGCAAACTTGTCAGAAGCAGGGCCCGCCAAGCGACTTGGCACTGGGTCCGTAATTCATCCTCGTCAGAGTCGTCACAAGAAAGGGGTGGAAAAGGCTGCGCCAGCTGACCACTGTCGCTTGTCATCAGAGATATGGACCAAGTCCAACCAACTTGCTGATGCCCCAGGAGGGCTCACATCATCGCCCTCAGGAGGCTCCAAACTGCAGTGTACAGTGGAAGGAGTCCAGAGGGTCAGAGCTGACCACCAAAAGGACTTGAGCACAGGCACAAGACAAACTGTCATGGAGGTGAGGGGAAGGAGCATTGCTTTGCAGGAGGAGCAGACAGTAGACTGGACAATGGTACGCGCCCCAACTATCTTCCATCTATGCGGAAGAGATGACTGGCTCGAGTACTCTATCCACAGAGTGCCACGCGAGTTGTATGCGCTTCTCGTGGCAGTGTTCCCTGGCAAATGGCCTGAAGATATGCTGGTTATTCCCACATTTCAGTGCGGAGAGGTCGACCTTTGTATCCCCCCAGTGAAAAGGGGGAAGGGGGAAGGCGCAGCAGATGACACAGACGAAGTTGATGAAGGTTTCGGCAAATTGTGTATGCGTGTAGGTGAGGACATGGATAGGATGCTGGGGGTTTTTCTCAGGTGGCAAAGTTCCATCTGTGGTTATCTTCAGAGCAAAGGCTACTGGGCCGACTCAGTGGACCCTAGCTCAGGGTATGCTCTTGCACCAAGAGGAGGATGGGGAAACACCACCAGCAGTACTCACCAGCAGGGACACGCCGGATCCCAGCAGGACCCATTGGTTGAAAAACGCATCATGGAGAAGCCACCCCAAGAGCACTGGGAGAGCAAACTCTGCTACAGTGAAGTTTATGCAGCCAGGGTATTACTTGGCTATGAGGTTCAGCAGGTAGGAGCATGCCCAGTTGTTGTTCACCCTAGGTTTGGCACAAGGGCATATCCTGCCTCTCTTGTGACAACAGCACCCTTAGAACCCCTGTTGGAAGCCATATCAGCAGCAAGGGATGGCTTTTCTGGGCAGATGGAAGCAGAGCCCGAGCTGGTATCTGCTGGGGACAAAAGTAGTGCAGAGGGAGGAAAGGGGGTTGGGCAGGAACACAAGAAGGAAGACGAGGAGGAGGAGGAGAGTGGTGATGATAAATCCTGGGTGAAAGTTGCGGGCCACAGCGAGATAATGCAAGAGAGCTGGGATGTGAATGAGAAGCAGAAGCCATGCCTTGTCATTCCTGATAACAGCATGCAGATTGAGAATCCGTCTTTTGCAGAGCAAAGGCTTCTAGACCAATGTCCCATCCTTCCTCCCTATAATTTGTCGCGTGGGAAGAATACAAGTGGCCTTGGCAGGGAACAGGTCCATGATGATGCACTGGACGAGGTCGAGAAGGAATTGCTCATGAGGGCTTCTGCAATGACAATCAAGCAATCAACTACAGGAGAGAATGGGAAAGTTGAGCAGGGAAGTACAGCTGCATTGAGCGTGACCACGTCTCACATGATGAGACAGGAAACAGCAATCAGTGGAGATCGGCAGACTGCCAACGACCAGGACGTGCTTGTCATCAAGGAGATGACCTGCAGTATTCCTGACAGTGGTAGAGTTATTGTGAAGGACCTGACTGTGAGGCTTCAGCAGGGAGAGTCTCTTCTGGTTATGGGACCGAGTGGATGTGGGAAAACGACAATTGTGAAAGCCATCGGAGGAATATGGCCATTGGATGCAGGTGAGTGTGACCGATCAATGGACAATGCTTTGAAAGCTCCGCCTCTATGACCAATGAAATTGCCACATTATCCATTTTCTGAAAATGGAGTAGCCACCTTAAAGCATTAAATAAATGTCAAAATTGAAACGGTATTCACCAATTCGTGGTAGCTGAGGCAGATCCCAGGGCTTGATCCCTAGTTCCCCAACTTACCTGTGTATAATATCTACGTCAACTCGAAGAGTTGAACCTGCGMCCTGTAGAACCGCCAGTGGTAGGTAGATTGTCGTAGGGCACAGGATAGACTGGAATCGAACTGTAGACCTGTAGGGTAGAAGTCTAGACAGTTCCGGAGTTGTAGCTGAAGACTGCCTGAAGAGTCAAGGTCGTAGCTGCTACTTA